GTTTCATGGGAATCATTGAATCATATCACGACCCTTCGAAGTACCCTAAGTATCCAAAGGTCTCTGGTGGCCAGGCTTTAAACAGTAGGAAATGTAAGAACATATCAGGTGTCCTGCAAGATTCTGGCTTGTTTATCCTTCAGGGACGGTTGATGTCTGCTGTTTGTAAGTCCAAACAATGTTTGGACCTAGACTTTGAAGTGGATTTCGGAATTTCGGTTTGCTTTATAATTTCTATTCCATGGCTCCAGAGTCGACTTCAAGGGAGCTTTGGACGTTTCCGTCCATGAGACTTAGCATTTTCTCTTGGAAAGGGAATAGAGAAAGGGGAGGCGTTGGGTTCTTTGTCTTCTGCGCCCTTTAAGTTTATGACATGAGCTTGGATTGTCTGTAAGCACACCAAGTGTTTACCTTTTGCGTTACAGCGACCTTTTGAAGCTATACACAGTGAGCTCTCTGTCTGAGGGTGTGAAACGTTGGTTTAGGGGTGGGAGTTCTCTCAGAACAGTAGATGTTTCATGTCCGAAAGCTTCAGAGCGTTGCGGATGTCGCTTCCGAGGTGCTGCCATTCTTTCATAGACACATAGGCGGCAAGAATCCCAGGCTTGAGAAAGCAGGTCTCATAGAGAACTGATACATGAGGCATTCCCGTAAGGGCCCAAACATCGTGATGAGCATGAATGTGTAGCATAGACCAAGCACAGGAGTCATCAACTTCAGGGCTGTGCAAGTTAAACTTCGATTAGTTGCCAGACAGACGGACTTCGCATGCCCGCCTAGATTGAACTATCAAGTACAGCAACAACACACACTGCACTCCGTGTCACGGCGTGAAACGTGCAGTGAGTACAAATTTAAAAGATACCATGAATGTGTCTTTAAACATGGATAAATTGAGATGTCTATGTCAAAGCATCTTCGCTACACGAAATGCACTGATAGTCCTGGTAGGCACATGCGTTCTCAGTCAGACAGATGGAGACATGTTGCTTGTTGCAGACTCCTGCCATTCATGAATTGCAGGGCATCCCGACCCATCGCTGGGGAAAAAATGTGGAGCTTAATAATACAAAAAATCATCAAACATGCGGCCGTGCTCTTTCTGCTTGCGCAACATTGTGGCTGCATGTGCACATAGCTACATTGTTGAAGGCAGTATAGTATGTCGCATGGACAAGTCAGACGGGGAAGTTATTCCAGGAGACTAGAGCTGCTGCATAGCAGAGCCCGGTAAAGACTTCCACGCAGCGTACATAGATGCCTTTATTTCGGACGGCAGCGCAGGGTGGCGGTTGTTCTGTATGTTTAAAGTTTAAAATAAGATTCTGTGAGGTGGCCGAGACAATCCACAAGAAAGTGAAGTCGCTGCGTAATCGGGCCGATGCAAAGAGCTCAACCTCCGGGGCTGCATCTTCGTCTGCCAGCAAGGCCAAGCGCAAGCCCGTTGCCATCCAGGTCCAACAGCAATGGACTCAAGAGGAGGCTAGAACACTGCTCCCTCCGGGCGCGAAAATTCTGCGCGATCAATTCAACGGCCGGTGGAGGGTATTTTATGGGTCCGGCAGCAACCCTGAAGACCTATGGTCAAAGAGCCGATCGTGGGGCATTGCAGGCAGACATGGGAAGGATTGCTTTCTTACAGTCATGGCGGGGGCCTGGTATTTTGAATCCCTTCGTCTTCAGATTCGTATGTACCAGGTTTCGGTTTGAGATCGCAAGTGTTGAATTTCTTGCGTGCCGAGGATCCACAGTGCTTGGGTGGATAATTAAAAAATGTTGGCTGGTTAAAATGGACACTTCACGGGATAAGGCTTTTTCCTTACTACTTCAACTTCCTGCCCTGCGGGCAGGCTCAGACGACGCAGCACTCCGATACTGCTTGAAGAAAGTATGGAAGCTTCACACGGATCTTGGAGGCGACGAGTGCCACATCACTGACCTGTTCTGATGTTGCAGATGGCCTTGGCTTGTGCGGGCGAAAGAAACTGAACTTCTCTCTGCAGGCTTGTTAGTAATAATCAGTAGTCCCGAATTTGCTCGAGTGGGCCAGGGGGCACTGTTGCCGTCGTACAGTTAGTTCGACTAGTATACGACTAGCAGGACCATTAGGAGGGTTATTGGTACGGGAACTACTCGTGCTACGGCTACTAGTACTCGTACTGGAGTACTATTCCTCCTGGTCACAGTCAATGTAGTAATACTCGTCGTCGTCGTCGTCCTAGTCGTAGTCGTAGTCGCCGACACAACAATTCTGAATTCGACACCGGTCGACCCCGCCCCGGTCGATTACAATCTTGATGACTGCCTCTCAGCTTCTACGGCGCAACCCATATTAATGTTAAGGCCTACCACCGTCTACAGGCGCAGCCCCTCTAATTCAATTGATTAAACTATAAGCCTATCAGATAAATATCACATTGCACACCGGCAAAGCCTAAATTTAGAATCCGCTAATTAGATCTATCACCTTGTACAAGCGCAACCCGGAAAATCCCCTGCACCAGGCCTAGGCCTATCACCTTGCACAGGCGCACAACCTAGAATCCACTCAATCCTATATCACCTTGCACAGGCGCAACCCCTAAACTCCCCTAGACAAGGCCTATCACCTTGCACAGGCGCAACCCCTAAACTCCCCTAGACAAGGCCTATCACCTTGCACAGGCGCAACCCCTAAACTCCCCTAGACAAGGCCTATCACCTTGCACAGGCGCAACCCCTAAACTCCCCTAGACAAGGCCTATCACCTTGCACAGGCGCAACCCCTAAACTCCCCTAGACAAGGCCTATCACCTTGCACAGGCGCAACCCCTAAACTCCCCTAGACAAGGCCTATCACCTTGCACAGGCGCAACCCCTAAACTCCCCTAGACAAGGCCTATCACCTTGCACAGGCGCAACCCCTAAACTCCCCTAGACAAGGCCTATCACCTTGCACAGGCGCAACCCCTAAACTCCCCTAGACAAGGCCTATCACCTTGCACAGGCGCAACCCCTAAACTCCCCTAGACAAGGCCTATCACCTTGCACAGGCGCAACCCCTAAACTCCCCTAGACAAGGCCTATCACCTTGCACAGGTGCAACCCCGGAACTAAATCCTAAATCCCGTAAGCCCATCACCCTCCGTAGGGCTTAATATTAAAAAGTAATCCCCAACCCTAGCGATACGTCAGAAATGGCCCCTGAAACCTCTCGGTCTTCAGTCAAGGGAGCCTATGACGACCCAAACCTTCAGCCCTGAAGCCTCCCTAACCCAGAAAAAGGGTCCCAAAATCCAAGAAGCCCCGGACCAAGTCAGAGGTTTTGGGATTGTTTTGGTGCTTTTAGGATGTCTTTGTGATTCAGTGCTTGTGGTTTAGGGTTTGGGTCGAAGTTTAGAGGACCCCGTCTTTTTACTGCAGTTATTTATCGTCACATCTCATGACACGGACTCACAAATGACCTCCCATCTCCTTCCTCTCATCACATATCTCCTCAAGCACCTGCCCTCACATCCTTAGGTTGAAAAATAATACTCTCGTCGTCATCTCATCATTTACAGTCTTGCAGTTACTTACTTTCAGACTCTCAGAGAATGGACCGGTGTCGCGGTCCGGCTGTGGGCTGAAGATAGTTTTGGCTTCCGAGTTCCGAAGTTCCGAGCATGCTGCTGTTGAATCACTTGTCATGCCAAAGTTCCAGTACTGGAAACTTTTCCTTCTGAGCCTTGAGACCGTACGTAAAGAGTTCAGGGTCCGTCCCCAGGCCTCTTTCTACCAACTTCGTTTTGGCGAGCCATACTAACGGACTGCTTTGCCTCTGCTGCCCCTCTTTCTGGTATTGCCAATGGCTGGTGAGGCTGCTCGTATTTATCGTTGATGAGACCTTTCTGCGGTCTCTGCTGGTGCGTTGGCCGGATGGATCCTGCAGGGCCTAGTGCCAAAGAGACTGAGACTGGGGCCCCTAACTCCTCGGCTACTGATGACACTGATGTGGTGGTTCGGCCCTCTTCTAGGTCTCCAAGGCCTTCTGCTCTTCGTCGACGGCCCGGCCCTGGCGATTCTGCTGGATCTGATGCTGCCTTTGTGTCTGTGGCCACCGTGGCTGCAAGGGACGAATCCTGGACTGTGGAGGATCCTGATCATCCTGAGGCGGCACCGAGCACTATGCAGGACGGGGCTCCTGATTCCACGACCGTGGAGTCCGTGTCCGTGGCGCAGGCCGGCCGCGATGCGGCGATGCGGCTTCAGGCTTCGAAATTTCGCAGCCGCTCGCCGGAAAGGAGACTGCGGCAGCTCGAGGGTCAAAATTCCTTTCTCACTGAGTCGTTATGAGACGCTGAGCGGTCAAGCAAGACTCCATGAGGATCGCCTCTAATAAGTGCAGAAACTGCCCTGAATCAGCTCTTCGACACTGTCAGTGTCGTGTGCAGCCACTTCTGCCTCCTGATGCGCATGCACCGGGCACTCCTCCGGTCTCCGGCTGAATGCCAACACCCCTTTTCACCTTTGACGGTTTGAATTGAATTGACGTGGTGCAATGGTCTCTGGTGTAAATGGGCTGGCTTCTATATATTATTCTGGTGAAATTCTGGCACTGGAACTGCAGCTGTTGCTCTGGTGGCCGACAGATGGTTGCCTCCGCTGGCTCTTAGACTCTTCGGCAGTGTCATGCTTCATTTCATGTCTCTCGGACTCTCTCGGACCTGTTGCCGTTGCTCAGGCTCACTCTCGGAAAGAAGCTTCGGTGTCTGTTTTTGCAGTGCGAGCAGATTCTTAAATTAAAGCTATCACCACAGTCACCTGTCATCAGTTAACTTTAACACTCATATTATGTCGCAGGTATGGGTCATGTTTGTGCCGGTGCCACGCAAAAGGCGGGCAGAGGAGTACCAGGCCAGGACAAGTGTGATCTTCCAATAGTTCTACGCTAATCTCCAACTTGGTTGGCTGGGGCGGCTGGGGCATGCGTTAGCATTGTGGCACTTAGCACACAAGGTTCAAAGAGTGTAGTGTAAGGC